CGGCGGGGCCTTGCCTTCAGGAGGAGCGAGGCGGGCGGCCGTGGCGAGCTCGGAGCCTTCGCCCTGGGTACTGCACCCACCCTCTCCCTCGGAGCTGCCCGGGCATGAGCTGGGGATTTAATTACTATTCTAATGTTGATGGGGAATTATGGGGCTCCGCGGCGGGGGAGGGAGATTCAGCGGTTCCTCGTCCTTTGGCGGACAGCAATGTACATCTCATGAGGAGGCAGCTGGCAAAAAAAAGCCAAATAAATCTGTGTGTTGATGATGATTAATCAGTTATTTCCCCTGAGTGAACAGACGTGAGGTCCCGCCGTGGAGTCCCTTGGGGCAGGTCGGATCGCCCCCTGCCCCCGGGGAGCCGAGACTGCTGCCATTTTCTGCAGCCCAAGCCCAGGGGGAATGGCAGGGAGCGGGTCCCTGTCACACCCTCAGGCTGCAAGGACACCGCGGTATCCACGTCTTGCTCACCTACCCTTGGGTGCTTGAGGTGGTTGTTGGTGGTTTTTCGTGGATTTGCTCGGTTGTAGCAGACTTTGACCCTTCTATGTGCTTCACTGCAGGCAGTGGTAACTGGAATCCTTCAGGTGTGCCAACACACCAGCAGCAGGACAACACTCCACTGAGCAGGAGGATTTTTTTCGTACATAAAGCTTTTAATAGGGTGAGGTATAATTTCTCCATTTTCCCTTATAGCCTGCAGGAAGGCACAGGTTTTGGGTCTGCCTCTGCTGTGAGATGCCAATTGCCTAAGGATGGGGAGTAGGAGAACCATCCCATAACCTGCTCAGCAGTGGTTGAAGTGGAGGATTGTGTGCATTTTGTGAGGACGTTTTTAATGAAGAGGAGATTGTAACATCGTTTTAATGCCTCTTGCATTACTTGTTTTTCTTCCTTCGGTAGTTGAAGCTAGGGGATTTTTCTCCTGAAGCATTTTTTAATTAATGTTTTGCTGTAATTATGTGAAGGCATGATTTGTCACTCCATAATTTTCAGGATTCTGATATATAGAAATTAAATATACCATGACACTATCAGAAACAACTGATTCTCTAAGAATATTTATAATATATACTAACAGAATAAGATAATTCTGAAATTCTGATATTTGGTTCCTTTCTTTCCCACCCCTATATACACAAGGTTATATACACAAGGTTCTTGCAAGCAAATTAGTATCCATTTAGGAGCTGAAAAAAAGTATTTTTGCAGATATTTTGCCTAAACTATCCCAACCTCTGTTAGACATAGCCCATCTTATAGTTTGTGGATTTTGTTAACAAATAAGCAAGTATATATATGCACACATTTTCCTGTGGTGGTCTACAAAACTTTGATCATCCATTACTAGAACACCAAAGGTAAGCTCACAGTTTAAACAGAAGCAACTTAACACATTTACAAAACCACAGAAATGGTAGATTGGTTATAAGATCGTATCTCTAAGGAACTACTTTGTATTCACTATTCTTGAATTCATAAAATTTAAGGAGGTCAAACTTTGCTTATTTAACCATGCTGTCACTAAGTGCCTATTCCAGTTCTAGGCCTTGCTTATAGGAAATCACATAGAGAAAAAACATGAAATGAGTTCTTTGTATATGGGTTTGCATAATAAAAGTTCCAGATTTTTGTTACCATTCTTTTGTTCTCTCCATACAAACATACTCCTTAAAGCCCTTACCTGCACATCTTCAGCATTTTAAGAACTTAAAAAAAAATACAGCTTTAATAATCTGCTCTCAAGATATATCACTAAGGAGCTGTAGCCTTCTCAGCACTGTTTTGTGGGTTTTCTGTCACATAATGATGGAGAGGCTGAGCTGTTGCATTGCCTTTCCATTACCCATTCTGTCTGCAACTATGCTGATTTTTGTTGCAAAAACACAGACTGCCTTTAGCATTCTTACCAGAATAAATTCCACTAGTGATAATTAATTTTAAATGTTCCCACCTCCAAAACTCATCTCTGACCCAAGATTGTCATAAGGCAATAAGATCTCTTTTCCTATTAAGCCATTTCTAGCCACACTGGTTCATCTGAGTGTAAAGCCATAGATTTTCTCCTTTTGGCCTGGTAGGTCAGATAATGAAAAGTAGGAAGCAGAATCCAAATTTAAATCCATATATGATGTCATACTGACATGTTTCTGTAGTTCAAGGACTTCTTAAAAGTCCTTTTAGAGACATTTACTCATTTATTGCCTCCCCATGACTGTCTTTGTTTGCATTTCCCACTAGTGATCAATACTTTATTGAGTGCTCTTTCATGATGAAGGCCATGGAGGATCAAGTAGTCCAAGAAGAACCAGGATACCAGGATGATGAGGTAAATTTATGATTGATTGAAAACTATGTGCACCAAACATTTTAAGGTATTTTGATAGTGTTATGAAACCCATGGAGGGACAGGAGGTCCCCAAAAACTATCTGGGAGTTCAGTGCATTTAAAATTTTGTTCCAGTCTGCTACCAAGAAAATCTCATTCCACTGTCCCCGCTCTTCAAGTAATCTTCATTAACCTTTCAAAAGCTGTGCACAGTTTTTAATGAGATTATCATTATTTCATCATATTTACACTTCTATATTAAATGCAAGGGGACTATCAGTTAATTTTCTGCTTCTGAGGAATGACCATCAGCACAAAAAGAGTGAGAAACTATGGCAGAAAAGCTGCAGATTCTGATGATGATAATACTAGTTTGACTGTGAAGCAGAGGATTAATTGCCTGTGAAGATACACTTTATGGAGAAGATGATAGGAAATGTGTCAGCCTTTTTGTCTCACTATGGCTTTGCTTATTTTAGTTGTCCAACAAGGTACAGTGTTATTTGTGAAAAATCAATAGATGTTTACAAATCTGAAACAGTCACATATTGAGATAGATGTAATAACAAGAAAAAGCAACATCTATTTTTTTTCTTCTATTTTGTTTAGGAATCCTTTTTTCAGGATATTGACCTGCTTCAGAAGCATGGAATTGTAAGTATTAGCAATCACTTGATCACACAGAATTGTTCCTCAAAAGCTCCTGTAAGATTGTTTCCAAAATTGTATACACATTGATGCAAATAACTGAAATTCCTCCCTGCAATAAGTTCTAACTCAGTTGGTGGAGAAACATTTTGCCTTTAGTGGTAAGACAGATTTTTAGAAAATCTCATTCACATCAGATTCCTAAATAAAGTGTCAAGATACTCAAAGTATTTAGCACCTAGCACTCTTGAAAAACCAACTGCTTGCTAATTTATTTGAAAACTGTGTGATAGATTATTTCCTGTTCCTGCCAATCTTTATAATTACTCCTGCATTTTTGGTGCCTGTGAAATTACACTGTGACAATTGTTACTATACTATTTTCAGCATGCTGGTACAGGGGGTAGAGTAGGAGTGAGGAAAATATTAGTAGCTAGAAAAATAAGTGGTTAGTTTTCTTCATCAAATGTGAATTCCTATCATTGTTACCATCATCATATAAACATCATCTATT